CTGAAAAAGAAACAATTCAGGAAATATCGATAAACTAGGCAAGTCTGCAACAAGCACATTCTAGCCTTGTCTCATTATCTTTGTTTTCCTCCAGACCTTATCACCACTAAGGAATTTAATCGCAAAAATGACAAGTAGCTGAAAGTATGAATCAGACTGGCATTGAATAAGAAGCCGTAGGAAAAACACCTACCTACACAACCCTGACAAATACAAATATAACAAGTGCCCCAGAGTCTCAGTGCAGACATGGGCTGCGTAAGTTTGCTTGCACTGAAATCTCTGCCTTTGGATGGGCTGCAGCATCCTGGAGGCTTCATATCACCCAGCGTCCAAAGGCTCCACTATTTTTCATGAAGAATCTAGACGCAAACTCATTCCAGGCCCTTGAATTTTCACATAATTTAGATTATTCACTGGTGAATATGATAACAAGCCCTAACGCAGAACTCCAGCCTAGCAAATACAGGAGTCGAGCAGTGCACCTGTGCCCATCCCTGCACAAACACCACAGCGGGGAAAGGCTGAACACATGCCCAGGCACACACACGAACATTTGCACTTTTGCTTGCTGTTGACAAGAAATTTGGCCCTCCCCTGCCAATTTCTTTTTAAAGGGTCTCATAAGGATCCAACTCCTGCAACAACGCACCAAAGAAAATCAGTGTTATGAGCCTCACTGTACCCCTCCAGGAAGCTAAGAGGGTGCCGATGAAGAGAGCCTGGGGAAGGCTGCCCCACACTGTCCTTGGAGCCAGCATCTGTCAGGGAGGTGCAGTACAAAGGAAAGCCCCTGCTTGCAGGACTGTGGCAATCCCGTACAAAAAATACCCTCTTTATACTATTAGCTGCTCACATTTCCCTGAATTCTCTCTGTCGAACCACAGCAGAGAGCCCTAATAAGGGAAAACCCTTCCCTCTGAGCCTTAACAGACCAAGTATAGAGATATTTGCCTGTGCTCATTAAAAACAAGGAATGTTTAATCTAATTGTCACTGCTTTTCAGGCTGCTTCAACAACACAACTTATTACACTATACTTCAGATATGTGCTTTGAGGAGATTTAATTCTTATCTTTAGATGCGCTGATAGCACAAAGCAGCCTGGCTGATTTACTGAACAGCACTGTGCCTTTGATAATAGTATTTGTCTTAGCTTCTTCTGCGATTAGAAAATTTGCACAGGCACAAAGCCCAAGTCATTAAATTGAAGGACTTCATTTCTGACTTTGCTTACTGTATGAAGTGCCAATCTTTGTACTGTTTTCCAGCACCTGAAAGGAGGCACGCACTTGCAACCAAATAATGTTTTCCATCCTCTCCTCCTGGCTTACCAGCCTCTCCCCCACCTCGTAACAAGCTTGATGCTCTCTGCGTGCCTTTGTGCTTCAGGATAGTCATTCTGAGGAAGGCCCTTAACTCAGTCTTACAGATAATTCTCATACGTCTGTGAAGCAGAAAAAAAAAACAAAACCAAGAAAACATACAAAGAGCTCTGAGGGGGCAGAAACTGCTCCAACAGAGATGAAGTCCATGGAGAAGGGGTCAGAGGTCTCCGTTCATAAAGGTTTCACACACACTTTATGCTCGATGAGAGCAATCCTCAGCAGATCTGGACCGGTTCTGGAGCACCCTTCATCCCTGGTCATTAAAATTCCAGCCGGTGCTCTCCTGTTCACTTGCCAAAACATTCAGAAGTTACTTGTCCTGCACTACCTCTTTCCAGAAGCATCAATACCCAGCCGCCTTCTCATCCTCACAGGGAAACTCCCAGCCATTAGACAGACAACCCTATCTATAGCTTAAAAAGGCGTTTCTGCTGAGACAGCTATGTTCCCCAGCAGCCTGAAAACACAGCCTGCGGGTCTCCACCATGGCTTTACATTTGCCCATCAGTCACCTGGTGGCACAGCTACCCTGAGGAATGCAAACAAGTACATCTCTCTTTGGAAGGGAAGTTGGCGTGCGTTAAACAGCTCATTTGCACCACATGGCTGCAGCTGGCAGCACGTGGAGACACAGCAATTTTGTTTGGTTTAGCTACGTATTTTGATGGAAGTGAAGAAACTGAAGAATTACTCTAAACACGGTTTGAATCAGTGTGAGGGAGATACAAGTACTGCAGCAACCCTTCAAGTGCCCACGACAGAAAGAAAAAGATCTGCTCGGTGACTGCGCTCTCACTGGTGTCCTCCTCCGCTGAGTAAACCCACCCGAGCGGAGCCTCTGAACTCACTGCACAGGATTTGCAGCTCGCAGAGCTGCCAATTTCAGCTGAGTCATGTGAATTCATCCCCACCAGCTCCTGCCCACCCCAGGAATCCTGACATTCCAGTCTTTTAATAGACATCTGAACTGGCATGACTTCCATTGGTTCTTCCTACAGTGCTTCAGAGGCAGGGAAAGCGTTAATCATGCAAGTATTCAACATCAGTGCTATGTCTGACCTCCACAAAAATCCAAATCCTGGTACACATCTCCCTGTCAAATTCCTTTTTTCCCCTCTGACCTTCCTTTAGCCAGCGCAGAGCAAATCACTCCAGAAGCATGAGGGCTGTCCAGCTGCAAAGGCAGCATCCCGGATATATCTATCCATCATTTTACAATGACAAGACTAAAAATAGTTTCGTTGTTCACTCAGGTTATGTCTGAAATGATTAATCCTAGAATATTGCTGTTGAAGTTCATCAAACATTTTTTGGTTTGCATCACATACTCTCCACAGACGTTACTATATTAAGAGCTCATTTTTTGGCAGATTATTCAGTATTTTGGATTTAAAAAGAACAAACAAAACATAAAGCCACTTGAGACAGGTAAAAGTCTTCCCTGATTTTCTAACTCTGATTACTCTGGGCTCCACAATCTGAGATTTCTTCCATTCCAGAAATGACTGGAATACAATGTTTAATAAAGGTCATACATGGAACTGCTTAGGCAGGCACTTGTTTTCCTTCAAACTTCTAAATCCTCTTTTTCACCTCAATTACTTTACCCTTCCACAGGAATCTCATTTCTCCATGTTTTTGCATGCAGTCTGGACATTTCACTGTTGCCATTGCACCAGCCTTAAGTCTCGCATTAGTTAGCACCCAGCATACTTGAGGTGTACACAGAGCAGCCACACATTTCATTCCCAATTATTTCTTAGCAAGATGCTCTAAACGACATGAAGTAAAACTGTGGTTTTCCTTTGTTATAGTGTATTTCTTGTTTATAGTTCTTCAAAACACATACCTTGCCAACTGTTTCTGGATCAGAAAAATCTACAACCCTTTGCCCTGTTCAAATAACTGGTTTCACACAAGACAAAGAGAACTGCAACCACATTGTGGTTTTCAATAGTAAAATGTAGTTGAGTTGCTGCTTGAACAAAAGCTAAACTTCAAGCTGGGTTTTACCAAAGACCCAGTGCTGCCTTCAAATTTGAATCTGTGCTTGAAGACCGTGGGCCAAAGCTTTGGCAAGTATTAATTGGCACAGTGACAGAGTAACCACCAGTTACCCCATGGAAGACTTAGCTCTGCAATTGCAAGGAAATAGCTAATCATTTTAAGACAGATAATAATTGCAAAGCTCAGCTTGTCTGTGAGTGACTAATGGCTTTTCCTCTTCCTTAAAGTGCACAAAGACATATTAATACAGAAAACAGTGATTTAATTCTAATAATTCCTTTGTGACAGGAGTGTCCAAATACTGATCTGCCAGCAACTTGGTCATGGCCCTACAGCTACTACATCTTTAATCAAGAGGACCAGGTATATGTCACTTGCTATAATGGGCATGTATAAAGAGGAAATATTGCCCTTCTCAGCTACATTCCCATGGGGCTTCATAATGGGAACTAAGGACAGTATTTGTCCCCAAATTTTTTCAGCTCCAAAGTTCAGGGGAACCAAATAGAGCTCAAGCTTTTACCAAAATTATCCTAAGCTAAAACCACAGCAGTGACACTCCGCTGTAGCAGCAGAGGATGGGTGTGGGGTTTGGTGGATAATACTGGATGGACTGGGAGCCCGCCAGATTTACCAGCGGTACGTGCTGCTTCACGTCCTCAGTGTCTCTGACTTCTTTCATGTCAACTATCTAAAACCGGCTTTGCATACCTGAGCCTGTGTGCGGCTGGGTTGTGTGTAATCATGGAAGATTTCATTTGCATACCTCTGTCCTTTTATTGTATTGTGTCTTTATCAATAACTGAGGAGTCACATAAACTGCAGAACCCAAGGTGATGGCCTTTTTTTTTGTGGTGCTCATCTCTTGCAGCATCTCATCTGTGCAAACCATGGCAATGTCTGTCACAGCTAAGCTGACTGGATTGCAGGACTCTTTCCTAACAATTGTACCAGTGCAAAGCACAAGTAATTTCACTGAAGTAAGAGAAGAGTACTAAAAACCATAAATGAATTTATGCAAAATGAATTTATGCAAAATGAAACAGATTGCAAGGGGAAAAAAGTAGTATCTAAAATGGATATACCCTGCTTTTATATAACACTAGAAGAAAACATGGGAAATAAATACAGCACAGCCTACAATTTTGCTGTACTGAGTCCTAACACTTTGAAACTTTATGTAAAAAGAAAGAGCGGCTGCCGTGCTGTTTGGATTACAGAAGATGCAAAGCTCTGTGCACATTCTGGTGTATTTCTGCACTTTATATATACGGGAGATAAATTATGTGTGCAGCAACTAGTACAAACAAACGAACAAGAGCCAGAACTCTTCTGGAGGGATTTCAGGGACAGCAGGCCAGGACTTACTTGGATTCTGTTTCAAAACTTTCTGGAAAGAGAATCATCTCTGCACATCAAAAAAGCTGGAATAAAGTGAAAGCAGAGGCATCTCTTTGCATCAGTAAGTGCCAGCCATTAACACCTTGCTTCCACGCTCTCAGAAACTGCTGAGATGTTTGAAAGGTCACTTGTGAATAACCTGGGAAATTGTTAAAGCTCCAGACCTTTTGAAAACAGAACATTTTCTCACAACAGAGGGCAGTACCTGTTGAAGTTGATTGGGTACAGGATGATATCCTCAGGTGCTCTGCCGTCCCACTGGATGATATAAGCCTGCTCGAGCATGACGACAGGCTGGTACTGCTGGTATGGTGCTCCTCTGTTCACGCCTTGCAACTGCAAGGGATGGGAATGGTATGCTGCTCTGGCAATGGATAAGGTCAGATTCTCAGGGCGCCTGGCCTGAATATAAAGCTGACGGTGAAAGGAAAAATGACAAACATATCCATTAAACCAGCCAGGCTCAGCCATAACATGTGCATTTGATCATCGTTGCCTGTAAACGGTTTTTCCCAACGAAGAGCTCAGAACATTTGGAAAGTCACTGAAACATTTCCAGTTCAAATAAAAAGGTAAAACAGAAATAGCATCTGCAGCCATTCGTGGGGACACCATGAAGTGAGATATGAATTGTACAGCACCATAAAAATGTTCGCTATTCAAAATCTTAAGGGAGAAGAGTAATCAAGGAAATATCACAAAGTAACTCTTTTTTTATGAATTCAAATAGCTGCACTTTAAAAACAGGCTTATTCCATTGAAAATACAGGAAAGCCTTAAGTTATTTCAACAGGCGTTGGATTAGGTCCAGTTATTTAATGGAATCCACATCTCCGCTCTCAAGCAGCAGACTAGGCTGAAATTTTGGGGGCTAAAACTTGATGGCCTGACTATATGACCTTATAGACTAAATGCCGTGTTCCACGGGCTTCAACAAAGAGCTCTTCTGTGCAGGGACCAACAGGTGCCCTTGGCCTGTAGGTCAACTCTACAGACCAATTACAGAACTACACTCCAGTTGTATGCTTCTTCTGTCCTGCCATCACTCAGATGAAGGCCAATTCATGCGGCAAACGTCAGTTTTAAGGCTGAACACATGATGTTCACCTGCGTCCCCCCGTGTGAAATTCCAGTGCAAAAGGAGGATGCACAGCTAGTCATACAAATCTGTCTCGGCATGTGAGGCTGTAGCAGACACCTTGTCATACCTCCTGAAGGGTTTCAAGTGCACCGAGGACAGCTGAGGACACCTATAATCCTGCTTCCTTCACTCCCTACAGTGTGGAATAGCACTCTCTGCATCAAGAACTTAAAGCATTCAACATAAAAATTCATGTTAGCTCAGAAATATCTAAGCTTCTACATGAACATCCATCCAGTAAAATTATTTTTAACCTCAGTTTCTGTCTTTGATGTAGATTAAAATGGATGCAGTAGTCTCTTAACAGATTTTAATACTGCAGGCAAGGATACAAGCACAGCCAAGACTAGCAGAGAGGGCAAGACTTTGTCTATCAGGATATCAACCTTCTAATGCAGGGCTATGAGACCTTGGACCCTCTCATCTCCGTATCTGCTTCTCTTCCTCTTGCCTACGCAGATTGAAAGCTCTGCAAAAGCAGACTATCTCTCAATGTTTTATATAAGGGCTTATTTTAGTTGGGGTATCTAGCCAGTTCCAAGTTCCAGTTTCATGCCCAGAAGGACTCTGCGCTTGCACCTGCTCCTGGCGTTGAGTTTGAGCTCCTCAGGACCTCCAAAAGACAGGCCATCTCTGCCTACCCCTCACCTCACCCCTGAATTCAGCAGCCTCATGCTGAATGCTCAAGTTAAAAATTTGGGTCTCATGTCAAAAAAATTAATCCAAAAATGGTTGTACATGTTTCTTGGATATTCAGTCCATTCCTCTTTTCACACCATTGCACTTTAATGACGAGAGCCTATCCCGAGTGGTATCTGCAGACCCTTGGAGATTAAAGTGGATCCCAGAATTGCATTAAACACAAGCTTTTCTTGATGGCTGGAACTATTGGTCAAGTAATTCACCCAGAACAATCTCTGAGCAGCAGCCCATTTGCTCATTTTTGATGGATCAAGGAACAATAAATTATTTTTACAGTTTGATAAAAGATCTTTTCTATCTAGGAGACTAAGAAGGAAAATCTATTCTTCCTTCACATTCAAACCATGATTGGAAAGTCAGTAACGTCCAATGCAATAAACCACATTTCAATCTCATTTGTCCCCACCCAGATGGGGAAATGCTGAGGTCAGAGCAGGTGATCAGTAAGGTCCCATTGGACCTGAAATCCCATCAATGTATTAATTGTTCTCAATCAAAACATCATTTTCTGATAAAGAATGGTTGTAATGAACTCTGATACTGCAAAATAATAGCCCACTTGTGTCTTTCTGAATAAGAGGCAAGAGTTTCTGTCCTATCACTGCAAACTTTGACATTATTTCCTTCTAATATGTGTCTCCAGCAAGCAGAGAATATTAAGGTGGTGGCTGCTGTGCACTTATGACAAAATTAAATGCGCCAATGATAAAATAAGACAAGAAAGGAAGGAAATGGATTCAATGATGAGCCCCAAAAATTCCTAAATTACAGACCAAGAACAAAAGATTCCTATATACTTTAAGGTATTTGTGTAAAAAAAAAAAAAAAAAGAGAGGGGGAGAGAGAAAGAGGGCTATGCATGGCCTAAGCTGCTCAGACCAAGAACAAAAGATTCCTATATACTTTAAGGATTTTTGTAAAAAAAAAAAAAAAAAAGAGAGAGAGAGAGAGAAAGAGTGCTATGCATGGCCTAAGCTGCTCACTACAATGATTGTTAATGATTTCAAGAAAGTGCTGGAAGGGTTTGCAGTATGCTTCAATAAGATGAGTAGGAAAGCATGTCAGAGATTTGTTGGTAACATTTTCTCCCAGGTGCCTAGGGACCAAGTCACAGGCCCAACATTAAGGATAATGATGACAGCTGTTTTGAGAATGAAACAGTAGTTACTAGAACAAAGAAAAATGCCACTTCTGTGTTGATACAAATATTTGTAAACTGACTTTGTCTCCTGCAATGACCAACAGTGGCTACTGAGTGAATGCCTTCCAGAACTGCAAGCCACCAAGGATGTGATTTTCAGTCCCACAGAAATACAGTAGTATATCTGGTGGATTTTCCAAAATGTTTATCACTAAAGGAGGTCACAGTAGGTAAAGGCCCTGATCAAGCAATCTAGATCCTACATGAAGAGACTCTTTTGCCCAGGTGGAGCTTCATTAAGTCAACAGGACTCTGGGAGCAAGGACTAGCTGAGGTGTTTCCTGCAGCAACTGGGCTCAGCTCTGGAACAACAGTCTTGGCGGCTTGGTCCTTCTTCAACACACAAAGCTGCACAGAAAGCAGCACCCCACATTTTCCCATTCCTCCCTTTCTCTGGCCTCCCTCCTCATTTGAGGGAACAAAGGACAAGAGGGGAATACAATCCCTGTCCATGAAATCCCTGACCTCCCTCCTGTGATGCTGACTCACGTCAGTCCTAGTACTTGTTTTTTGTTGTCCTTTCAGGACTGGAATCAAGACCAACAGATTACTTTAGAAAAATCCCAGAAGAGTCATCCACCAAAAGGCTGCTTTTAATTCCCAATGACATGAATGAAGTAAAAAGAAGCCTTTGAGCTCCACCAGCCCCAGGCAGGTGAAACATCAGCCACTGTCCCAGCATAGTGCTCTTGGGATGTCACAACATGGCCTCTTTCTTCCTCAGCCTTTACTCTGTGACACCTTTACTCACTTGAACTGAACTTGGAAAACTTTATCACTTTTCTTCCTTATATCTACCTTTGAAGGGACAAAACACTTGTGAATAGGAGTGAGAAAGAGAGTAACAAGAGAATTTTTTTTCTAGAGTGAAAAATCCATCTTCCTTAGCAACACCTCCATAATTTTGGTTAGATCTACCGAAATATTTAAGAGAAGGAAGTGGGTCATAAAGATAGTTTAAAATATGAGAAGTGGTGACAGCTTAATGTAGCAGCAGAAGAACAACTAGTTAAAACATTATAAAATGTGAGCCTTCTACTTGCCTGGATGGTTTAATGGACATAGTTGTCATTTTAGCTGCTTAACACTTCATGCTAAAAAGATGTGTCAGATTTCCCTGTGCTTACATGGCAATTTTCCCAAGTCGACTGTGAAACTGAGAAGATAAGTTCTTTTACAATTCATGGGGGATCTGCTATCCAACTGGATAGCAAGTATGAAGATAAGCAACATGCAAAGTACTGGAACAGAAAATCTTGGTTTTTGAGGAAAGGTTTGCTTGCTTTCTAGTTTCTTGAACATTGCTTTTGTCCTACTGTGCTGTCAGCTGTTAAGCTGGGGCAAAATGAGAAATTCAAAACATACCTTCTCCTCTTTTGGTGGTGTGACTGTTCAAAAAAGGTTAATTTCCAAGGGCAAAACATTTCCTCTATGAAGTTTCCAAGTAAAATCATTTCAGAAAGAAAAAATGTATCTTTCTATAAGACATGCTAGAACCAATTTTGGCCCTAAAAATGACAGCAGCTTCACTGGCATCAGCAAAACTACTTTGATTTTCCATTGGTGCACATTAGAGATCAAAATTGGACCTCTGTCCAAATATGGACACCATTAGCCAAAAAATACCTTGCAGGCTTTTCCTTCTTCCCAGTCTGTGAGGTGCTGACAATCCTCAAGCACTGCAGATACTCTGGGATCGTACGTTTTTGCCTGTGCTTAGAAAAGTGCCATTTGCTACCTACTGCATCTCTCGCTTGCTTTACATTTAGAAGCATCAGTACCAAAACCAGCTACACAGGCACTGAATACACAAGCGGATACCAGCTGAAGGTATATAGCCTGGAGAGGCAGGATTAGTGCAATTGCAAACATTCACTGCAAGAACAGAGTTAGCAGAAGTAGAAGAGTTTCTATTTCAGCAGCCTGCAGTAAGGTAGTGACTAAGTGAACTGGTGAAAAAGCAGCAGCATTCCCTGAAGTATTTTATAATAGCAAGGCATCAATTTTTTGGTAATTCAAACCTGACACTAATTTAGCTATGTAGCAGTCTCTTATGACTGTCTAACACCTTTTTAAGCTTATAAAAGAAAATAGCACATACTGCCAAAAACTCTGCTTATGTTAATAAGAATAATACCAAAAAAGAGAAGTTTCACAGCCTCTCCTGATGAGTTGCTGTGAAGTCTGTGAGGAAGCAGTAAGTGCACAGCTTCAACTGCCCAGTGGGACCCAAGGCACTTGTCTTATGATTTATATAAAAATCAGAAATGGTTTAGGAATCTCATTTACATTTTAACAAGTAATGCAGGTGTTGAGGAGTCTCCAGTTCAGTGCCTTTGGAAATCACCCACCTACATGGAGAGAACTACGGGATGAGCCTCTCCCTGTATTTTTCTTTTATTACTGGCCTTTGCAACAGCTGAGTCAGGTTGACGGGACACCGAGGACCTCAGCGCCCTGCTGACAGAGTCTAAGTGACTCACAGAGATTGCCAGAAGATGTGGTCCTGCCAACTCTTCTGACTTCCCTGTGAGTCTCCCTCTACTTGGTGTTCTTCCTCAAAGCCTCGCTTTATTTACATTGTAACATGAGAGTTTCAGCTGTCATTAAAAAGCAAAGGGGCTGGTCTTGTTTGGACAACACCAACCCTACAGGCTCCAGAATTGAAAGTGGAGGACAAAAAGACCTGATAGTTCTTGCTTGTGTAAGTTTCATGATCTTAAACTGGTCCCAGAACCCTTTTTTGGTAGTGAAAGGCAATGTTGGAGCCAAAGCATGAGGCATTTCTTAGTGCTCCCTGCTGAAGGAAGGTCTTGGACACCACGTGGGGAAGGTGGCATGATGCTTCTTGGAGACAGTGAGGAGGAAGGACCATGAACCAACCGTAGGAAGGTGGGAATGTCAACCTGAGTTGCCAGATTAAAACGCCCTCAGGAAAGTCTGTCCCCAGGATTTTGTGGAGCTGCCAGAGGAATAGGTTTTCCCCAGGCATTACCTTTCCTGGGCAAATTACATTCAGGAGAAGATGAGCATGAAAAGTGAATGAAAGAAACCAAGCAGAAAGGAATTAACTGAACTTTAGGCACTTTGCTCAGAAAGGATTTGGCTGCAATGTTAGCTGAAGGACTTGGATCTCATTTTTCCACGCCAAGTAGCCCATCCCTAGGCTGACTATCTTGGGCCCAGTTCAGCACTAATATAAGAGTCACTATTTCCTTGAACTGAAAGGACATTTTCACCTGCTTGCGCTAGGGAAGAATAAAAGCTCTCGTCTACCAGAGCTACATGAAAAGGAAAAGAAAAACAGATTTTGTAATAGAGTTGCTAAGATCAAAGCAAACCATCTTTCTCCATAATTGGATTCACTCTTTTAGGCTTTTCATCTAAAATATGACACTCAGAATTCAGCACACAAACAAATCATCAGTTTGTCAAAGTGCTGAGAACCAGGGTTAAGCTGAAATACTCCAACAAATATACCCTCCAAATTAAATCAAACCTTGCTGCATGGGACCAATTTCTTCTACCCTGTACACATATATAGTTCTCTAACCAAAACCCATAACGTGAGGCATTTAATATGAGCTTTACTCATCGTGCTGGATGCTGATTAGTTGAAAAACGCTGGTAAGTAACGGATCCCAGGGAAGCAAATGTTTATGCTTGCCTAAACCTAGCCAAGGAAATTTTCTCTGGTGGAAAAACTGCCTCACCATGTAGACTGCCATAAGTGGGAGTGTATTAATAGAAATAAAAATATAAATGCCTACTTGTTTACAGTTCTGAATTTAACTGTTAGGTTGCCAGAGCAGAGCATAACATTTCTCTGGAGACACAGAGCAAAATGTAAGTGCCAAGAACAAAACCCTAATTCAATGGGAGCCCAGTCCTGTTTCTGCCTAGTCAATAGCAAACCAGGGGGTGTAAGTCCAGTGCCTAGACACTTAAATAGCAACTCCTGCTCTCTGCTGTGCAACTAAAGCAAATGCACACAAATTTTTTTAGCTTAAGGAGGCACGTGTAATCTGGATTTGACTTTGCACATATTCTGTAGGCACAGAGGTCTCAAAGATAATTGCATTCCTAAATGTTTAATGCATAAAGTTCCTTGGAGAAAGGGACCCAAATGCAAGCCCACACATTAGTATGCATCAGAGAAGCAACAGAGAAAGCACCTTCAGAAATCTCCCAATGTGGAAAATCCATGGGTCTAGGTTTGAAACCCATCCTGAGGTGCAACTGTAGGAAATTGGGCTCTGCTAATCCCCATGCTCACAAAACTGCATGTCACAAAGGGAAACCTGACAGCCTGCTCCTCTCGAGGCAATCTTAATGCTGGCCAGTCTTCAGGCAGAGTTTCATCCTCTGCCACACCTGCTGATGGCTGGGCAATGTCTACTGACTCCCAATGAGACAAAGACTTTGCAGCATGCTCCCAAGTGCACAGAAGACTCCTAATAAATAAATAAATAAATAACACCTGCTGTATCTCATGAACTCTGATCTTATTTTAAGATCACTTCATATTCCATTCTTGCCTGTCATATCCAGCGGTGCACCCCACTGCAGTCTTTATTTGACAGTGCAAGGCTGTTCTCAGGGATCAGGAGAACATAATGGTCCTTCCAAAAACCACATCTTGTGTGAGGGCTCCCAGTACCCACTCTCCAACCTCAAACCACGTGGTGGTGTGTGTGCCCACCAAACACAGCCTTAATATTTGGCTTGTTCAACACAAGGAGAGAGGAGACCTGGCAAGATGTCCAGGTAACCGGAGTTTTAAAACAGGCCTGGGTACTTTTTTTGTAAACACGTTAATATCCTTTAGAAGTGGAGGAGCAAGGAGAGCCATCTGCGATCTCTTACAGGTGACTGTGAAAGCTGTGGTGAGTCACATATTTACAGTATGCTCTACCCACACACAAAGGTCTCGTCGAAATTTGAGCAACATACCATGAACCACAATCTGATTTTGAGGTCACGTTTTCCCTCCATTTACCATTCTCCTCTTTCCTTCTTTCCGTACTGAAAGGTTACCTGGGATTGGCAGCCCTTTCTACCAAGG